CATCATCATCATCATCATCATCATCATCATCATCATCATCATCATCTCATCATCATCATCATCATCATCATCATCATCATCATCATCATCATCATCATCATCATCATCATCATCATCATCATCATCATCATCATCCCTTTTCTCTTCCTCCTCCTCCTCCTCCTCCTCCTCCTCCCCCTCCTCCTCCGAGGGGGGGCGCACGGAGGCCCTCGGGCCACCTCACGAGCCTCCAGCGGCAGTGGGGGGACGACTCTCGGGCACGCCCAGGAAGCTCTCGGCGAGGCGCAGCGTGCTCGGAAGGCCTCGTCGAGGCCCTCGACGACGAGGACCTCGACGAGGGGCAGCGTGCTCGGAAGACCGCGAGAGGCCCTCGACGACGAGGGTCTCGACGAGGCGACGATGCGGGAGGACCTCGTGCCGAGAAGCTCTCGGCGAGGCGACGAGGCGGGAAAGCCTCGAGAACCGACGAGAACTGCCTCGCCCCGTCCACCTCTCGGGGGGGGGGGGCACCAGGGGAGGCCGGAGGGCGGACCGAAGGCGCCGAGCACAGCAGAAGTGACCCTCGAAGCCACCCCCGAAGGCCAGCTGGCTGCGGAAAGGGTGTGCGCGCGCACGCACGCGCACGAGGCGTGCGTGAACAAAAGCCTAACCTCTGACCCCCAGCGTCGCCATTTGTTCACAGCGTCCAACCCCCAGAGGCCTGGACCCCTTCCATGACTGGCCTCACGGTTCTGGGGCCCGCGGAGGCCCCCGGAGGCCGAAGATTCGCAAACACCTCCACCGTGGTTTTGAACGACGCGAGGAGGTCTGGGAAGTATGCCGCGCATACAGGCAGCATCCGAAGCCGCGAAGGCGCGCCTGCGTCCGTATCTGGTTCACGACGTCCTTCTGCGTCCTGCTCATGCGCCTCCTCCTCTCCTCGGCCTGCCGCGACGGGCGGGGCGGGGTTGGGCTGGGCGGTCGACCCCCCTTCCAAAATAGTAAGGAGGAGAAGGACGATGAGGAGGACGAAGGATGAGAAATCACTTGGAGAACAAAGGAGGAAAAGGAGGAAGAGGAGGAGAAGGAAGGAAAGAAGGATGAGGATTGTGGTGATGCCCTTAACGGTGGGCGTAGCCCTTTATGTATCGGGTGGGGCACATGGGCTCACCCACCATTGTGAGTCGGTGCTGGGGAAGGTTGGGAAGTCCCACCTTCCATGGTCTGGTACAACAACGTACCTTCCGATCGCAGCTGAAATAGTTGGTATGCGTTCGACGCATGTTGGCATCAACCTCTGCCAGTTCAAACTTTCGGTACAAATCTCAATTCATGAGCCTCGGATCCTGCCCCCACTCCAATGTCACGGAGACGGTGCATCGAATGTACTATGATACGCTATACCGTGCCCGACGATATCATGAGATGGGCCGGAGAGAGAGAGAAGGATGCGCCTCCGCTCGTATGATAGCCCAAGGAAGGACTGGGGCCACTTCCTCGGAGCGCCAACGGCATGTCGATGATAATGACCTGGGTCCCCTGGGCGGTCTGCAGCATTTGGCGTTGGATTGTGTCATACTGCAAGCTAGCATCTTCCATCGTAGCCGCTTTAGAATGTAGACTGAGCAAATGCCCAGACGAGACGAAGCATCGTGGCACAAATGAGCTCTTCCAAGTCCCAGCCGCCACGAAATGAGGAGGGGCCTCTGAACAGCGTCGTGCCTCGATCCCACTGTTGATAACGCCACATGTGAATAACTGCCCGCACTTCCGCCCCGAACCGACTACGCAGATGCCCCTTGCCAAGTGGGAGATACACTTGCCGTGCTCATACCGCTGGGAGCAGGCAGGGCTCGCACCCAACGGGCATGGCCGCCTTTCAAGCTCAAGGAGGCGAGGATTCGTGACAATGCCGTGCCCTCCTGCTCTCTTCGCGAGAGAGCGAGGGCGCCGAGGGAACAAGGGAGCGGAGGAAGAGGACGAGGCCGGGGGGGAAGCGAAGCGACGACGACCGCAAAGCGCCAAACGACAATGCGGGAGGACTCCTGTAACTTCGGCGTCCTGCTGACAGGCACGGCCTTTCCAGACCGCTTCACGCGGACTAGCGAGATCTCCGAACGACTGGAGTGCCCATGCGCTTTCTTTACACTCGGGCGCGGTCTCTTGGAAGCTGGGCGAGGGCTGGCAAATCCGTGGCTGCTGAAACGGTCTTCCCGGAGGGAATAAGCAAATTCCAGGAATCAAACTCAGCGCGCTGAATAGCAAACGGGCTGCTACCCAGAAGAAAAAAAACAATTTCCCGGAGCTCCGTCTTAGCCGTCACGGGTTTGCCAGCCGTCGTCTGGCTTCTGAGTCTCGATCGACAGCAAAATCGGGCTAGCTGGCACGCTTGAGTGCGACATTCCATCGGTGCCAAAAGTTGAAGGGGCCCAGGCACACACACACACAGACACAAATATGCACAAGTAACCAGATTGCCCATATTTACCAATGTTTTCTGGGATTATGTCTCCCCCCACCACACTTCCCATATTTACGCATATCTTCCTGGGAATCGACGATTAATTGTGTCTGTGTGTTTTTTCCCCTCCTGATGAATAGGGGGTCGGGCAGGCGGCGCGGCACCGAATTCGGCGGCAGTATCGGGCACGCAGATGGGCGCCCAGGAGGAGGCAAGCGCTCGGGAGGAAGCAGGACGCGGAGGGAGTGCGATGGGAACGCGATGAAGAAGGGCCGCGGTCCAATCTGAACTGAAATAGGGAACCGAACTCTACACACCGACGCGTTTTCCGGCCATGCGCTGACACTTGCACAGGAAAGCGGATCCTGGTGTATGCGAGACCCTGGTGTATACATGTCTCGTTGTTCCCAGAAAGGAAACGGATAAAACAAAGTATACACCACACCACACCCGACGTCGTCCCCGGCCCTCAAAGAGTCCTGGGATTGAAAATCAGCCCGCCACTGGTAATATGTAGATGCTCCAGCTGCCGACGACAGACCGACAACAACCCTGCAGGTGAGGTCCGTCGGAGTCTCCTCATCAAGCACCACCGGATCGCCCTCCCTCCCCGCTGCAGCAAGCAAGGCGCGCAGCGCCGGAGGGCGAACGCGGAGGATGTTCGACCGGGGCCCGGCTGCCTCGGGCAGTCTGTGCGAGCCGCGCCCTCGCGACGCGAGCAGAGCCCAGAGGAAGGCACGCGGGGGCGCAGCGGGGGAGGACGAGGCACGCGCGCGCGAGCAGGGGATGCCGCCCGCTGCGATGGGGGCGCCGGTCGAGGCGCGGGGCGGCCCCGTGAGACGGCTGGCGGTCCGCAGCAGGAGTCCAAGGAGCAGGTTCAAAGAAAGGGAGGGAGGCGCCCCACAGCGCAGCGGGCCCAGGAGGGAGGAGAAAAGACGGAGGAGGTCGGCAACGCAGGGGCAGCGGCGCGGGACGCGCATGGTCTGTGCGTCCTCTTTTGTGTATGGTTTTCCTTGCGGTGGTCTTGGACCTCTGGCTTTGAACTCCGACTCCAGTGCTGGTGCTGGCAGGGGACGCCGATGACAACCAGGTGGAGAGCCAGGTGGCGGGTGAAGGAGACGAGCCTCGGATGGGCAACAGGAGTGGGCGAGGGCGCCGCTGAGAGGGAGAGGAATGCGCCCAGGACGGACGTTGAACAGGAGGCTTACTCCCGCCTTCACGTGGGAGGGGACCAGGGAGAGGGCGGGCGGGGGCAAAGTAAAGAGAGGCCATGATTTGGCGGGGCGGCCGAGCGGTGGGACAGGAGGGGCCTGAAAAAGTGAGGGCGATGTGGGGGCGGACAGACGGGGTGTACTCGGGACCACCTTCATTTGCCGCCGGGCTACCCTGGAGGTCGACAACACCTGTGAGGATGACTGCGTCGGCGCACGAGGAGGCAACAGCGCCAGCATGAATGAGCAACGCGCATGTGGACCCGCGTGCGGGGTCGCAACCCTGATGGGTCGCACCCCCGACCTGAGGGGCTACCACGTGAGGGGCCAGAGTCGCCCCTGCATGAGCGGTCAACGCTCGGGGGCCGACAGCCCCGGCACGAGGAGCCAGGCCCCAGGATGAGGGGTCCGAAGCATGGCTAACCCGAGCCCCAGCACGGCTGGTGAGCATCCGCGGTGCGCCGCATGCAGGGCCACCACCCCCAGAGCAGGGCGCGACACGGGCGGGGTCGCAGCCCCCGGGTAAAGGAGACAGCGCGCGAGCGGTCAGGTCCACGGCGTGGGAGCCAAGCGTGGGCGGGAGAGGGGCGGGGCTCCGCCGCGCAAGGCGTCAACACGTGAGGGGCCAGAGCCCCGCATTGGGGGGGGCCAGGTCGAATCATGAGGGGCAAATCTCAACATGAGGTGTCGACGCACGCGGGGGCCAGCTGCACCGAAGAGTGCGCCAAATGATGAGTGGCCCAGGCCCGAGCATGAGGGATCAGCGCGTGAGTGAAGGAGGGGCAGAGCCCCAGCATGAGTGGCGTGAAGCCCAGAATGCTGGTCACCGCACGAGAGGCCTGACCCATGGCGTCGGGGGGCAGTACACAGGGAGAGCGTCAACGCTCGGGAATGAGGGGGCAACACGTGAGCTAAGAGGGGTGAACGCCTAGCGTGAGGGGTCAACGCAAAAGCTGAGGGCTCGAAGCAAAAGCTAGATCGGGGACAACCTCCCACCATAAAAGGGGGGCATGAGCCCAAAAGTGTGGGGTAAACGTAAAGTCCGCAGATCCAGCGTGTGAGTTTTGGGGGTGCCGGGGTGGCTCTGCCCGGGAAAGGGGGGGGGGCTGCCCGCATTCAGGTTTGGAGGGAGTTTGGGGGGGTGCCGGTGTGGCTGCGTGGAAGGGGGGGTGGGGGGGGGGGCTGCCGCCATTCAGGTTTGGAGGGTGGGGGGTCCATTCAGGTTTGGAGGGGGGGGGGCCAGTCAGCTTTGGAGGGAGGAAGGGGAGGGCCATTCAGGGTTGGACGGGGGTGAGAGGCTGCCGCCATTCAGGTTTTGGGGGGGGGGGCGCCAGTCAGTTTTGGAATGGGGGGCGGGGGGGCGCCATTCAGGTTTGAAGGATGGAGGGGGGGTTTGAGAGAGAGGTGGGGGCTGCCGCCATTTAGGTTTGGGAGGAGGGGGGGGAGGGTGCCGCCACCATTCAGGTTTGGAGGGGGAGGGGGGGGACTGCCGCCATTCAGGTTTTGAAGGGGCGAGCCATTCAAGTGGGGGGGCGGGGCTGCCCCCATTCAGGTTGGAGGTGGGTGGGGGGGTGGGGGCTGCCGCCATTCAGGTTTGGGGGAAGGGGGAGGGTTGCCGTCATTCAGGTTTGAGGCGGGGAGGGGTCGGGGAATCATCCTCATCCTCCGCGTCCTCGTCCTCCTCGTCCTCCTCCGCCTCTTCCTCCCTGTTCTCCTCCTCCTCTTCCTCCTCATTCTCCTCCTCTTCCCCCTCTTCCTCCTCCTCCTCCTCCTCCTCCTCCTCGTCCTCCTCCTCCTCCTTCTCCTCCTCCTCCTGCTCCTCCTCCTCCTCCTCCTTCTCCTCCTCCTCCTCTCTCTCCTCCCGCTGCTCCTGCTCCTGCTCCTGATCCCTTTTCCCCCTCCTCCTCCTCCTCCTCCTCCTCCTCCTCCTCCTCCTCCTCCTCCTCCTCCTCCTGCTCCTCCTTCTCTTGGCACCTGTGCCACTGGGACCCCTTTCCCAGGAAAACACGCGGGTGGCAGGTCGATCGTCACCCTTGTTTGCCCGTTGGGGGCCAAAGGGAGAGAAAATTGCTCTCGTCGCCAGCGGCCACACATTGAGTGGGTGGTGGATGCCCTGTTTCGCGCACTTAGCGCGCCACGGGGGCATGGCCCTGGACCGTTGGCGCTGCTCTGTCTTCTGTGTGTTTTCTGTTGGTCGAGCCTGGCAGGAGCGTGCAGAGGCAAAGCTTGCCGTTTCGTTTTGCTACTCGGCGCAGCCTGCATCTCCCTCCGCTGCAGGTTGCCTGTCCTGCTCTCTCTGGGTCTGGAGGCGATGTCGCTGATGTCAAAGCATGTCCACCTCCTCCTCCCCCTCCTCCTCCTCGTTCTCCTCCTCATCATCCTCTTCCTCCTCCTTCTCCTCCTCCTCCCCCTCTTCCTCCTCCTCCTCCTCCTCCTCCTCCTCCTCCTCCTCCTCCTCCTCCTCCTCCTTCTCCTCCTCCTCCTCCCGCCCCTCCTCAAGGTACTCCTCCTCCTCCTCCTCATGCTCTTCCTCCCTCCTCCCCATCCTCCTCCTCCTCCTGCTCTTGTTCCTGCTCCTACTCCTGCTCCTGTTCCTGCTCCTGCTCCTGCTCCTGCTCTTGCTCTTGCTCTTCCTCTTCCTCCTCCTCCCCTTCCTCCTCGTCCTCCCCGTCCTCCTCCTGCTCCTTCTCCTCCTCCTCTTCCTCGTCTTCCTCCTTCTCCTCCTCCTCTTCCTCCTCCTTCTCCTCCTCCTCCTCCTCCTCCTGCTCCTGCTCCTCCTCCTGCTCCTCCTCCTCCTCTTCCTCCTCCTCCTGCTCTTCCCCCTCCTCCTTTTCCTCCTCCTCGTCCTCCCTCCTCCTCGTTCTCATCCTTGTCCTCACCCCTTCTCATTCTCCTCCTCCTCCTCCTCCTCCCACAGACAAGACACAAGCCAGATGATAAGAAATAAAGCAATACAAAATGACACAAAGAAGAGGGGTGAAAGACGAAACGACGAGTCAAGAAGCACAACATGAAAACGAATACCACAATGCAAACAGGAGACACACGAGAAGGAGGGGAAGAGAGAAAAGACGAAAAGCGCAAGAAACAGAAATGCCACCGGATCGGCGGTACTGGCCGGAGGCCATTCCAATATATCGTTTCCACATCGAACAAAGGAGATCGAATCCCCTGCGCCGAACTGGCCTCACACCTCATTCCCCACCCCACCCTCATCGGAATCGGGGGGGGGGAGGGGGGCGAATACGGAGAACAAGGTTTCCCCCCCTTCGGCCGCGTCATCTGGTCATGCTTCCCTCCTCCTCCTCTTCCTCCTTCCCTCCTCCTCCTCCTCTTCCTCCTTCTTCTCCTCCTCCTCCTCCTCCTCCTGTTCCTGCTCCTCCTCCTCCTCGTCCTCCTCCTCCTGCTCTTCCCCCTCCTCCTTATCCTCCTCCTCGTCCTCCCTCCTCCTCGTTCTCATCCTTGTCCTCACCCCTTCTCATTCTCCTCCTCCTCCTCCCAAGCTTCTCCTCCTCCTGCTCCCACAGACAAGACACAAGCCAGATGATAAGAAATAAAGTAATACAAAATGACACAAAGAAGAGGGGTGAAAGACGAAACGACGAGTCAAGAAGCACAACATGAAAACGCATACCACAATGCAAACAGGAGACACACGAGAAGGAGGGGAAGAGAGAAAAGACGAAAAGCGCAAGAAACAGAAATGCCACCGGATCGGCGGTACTGGCCGGAGGCCATGCCAATATATCGTTTCCACATCGAACAAAGGAGATCGAATCCCCTGCGCCGAACTGGCCTCACACCTCATTCCCCACCCCACGCTCATCGGAATCGGGGGGGGGGAGGGGGACAAATACGGAGAACAAGGTTTCCCCCCCTTCGGCCGCGTCATCTGGTCATGCTTCCCTCCTCCTCCTCCTCTTCATCCTTCCCTCCTCCTCCTCCTCTTCCTCCACTGGTTCCTCTTCCATCCTCCCCCTCGTGGGGTACTACGGCTTCCCAACCTTTATTCCACCACGTGATCCCCCACATGCCTGATCAGGGTTGGGCTTCGTTTCTGAATCGGCTGGCGGGGTTTCGCAAACCGTCCAGAATATATAGGGAATGCACGGAGGGAGGGCGGCTTCGTTTCAAACTTGCGCTCTCGTTCAAGACCTCCCCCGTGCGATCACCAGAGATGCAAACTTGTGCAGCACTTGCACAGTATGCGGGCAGCTCCTTGTCAAAAGGGGGCTCTCTGTGGACACCTCGCTGGACGTTCTGAATTTATATCTTCGCATTCATCAGACCTCGCTGGAAGGATGCAATGATCAAATATCGTGATCATGACGCAATGGCGGGTCCAATTCGTGATCAAATATCACGTCTTGGACTGCTTTTCTCGGATCGCTCCGCAAGACGAACGACTGACACGGACGTGTGCGTGACTAATCATGAATTCGGCTCACACGGACTTGTGCGTGGAACCTACCTGCATTCAACCTGGGTCACACGAACTTTGCCGTGGGTTCGTGCAGCTAGCCTGCTCACACTGTCACGCGAGCCACTCACGGGCCCCAAAAAAATCCACGCGCTGTGTTGGCGATCGAATACGGTGAGGGCATTATGTAAGGAACCCTTAAATAAGGAATCCAGGGTCTGGAAGCCGGTGAAACTCCGATCGCGGATCGGCCATGGATATCACTGCCGCCCTCATCAGATAAGGAATCCCCCAGGGTCTGAAGCCTCCTGGACCCATTCCTTAACGAATGCCCCCACCGTAACATCTGCAAGGTAGACGGCTAATCACCAGGCCTGAGCTACCAATAAAAAAAACAGCACGAAAGGAGACCGAGAAGTGTGATCATAAAGAGGAGGAGGAGGAGGAGGAGGAGGAGAAGAAGGAGGAGAAGGGCCAACCCCAACGGGCACCTACTTGCGAAGACACCAAATGAACTCGGACCCGGGCTGAACTCGGACCCGGGCTGATCTCCGACCCAATTCAGGGACCGAGACAAATTCGGACCCAAATTGGACTCGGACCAAGTTAGACTCGGACCCGGCTGAACTCGAACCTGGGCTGAACTCGGACCAAGCTGAACTCAGACCCAGAAAAACTCAGACCGAGGCCCGCGCGGCAGCGGGAACGCCCGAGTCCGAACTCAGAAGGGTTCGAGATCAACCGGGTCCGATTCAGCCGGGTCCGAGCTCAACGGGTCCGAGCTCAGCTGGGTCCAAACTTCGGGGTCCGAATCCAGCTGGGTCCGAGTTCAGCCGTCAGCTGAACTCGGACCCGCCTGCGCCCGAGCTCGCGCGGCGGCGCGCCCGCGCGACTGCCCCGTCGCTGGCGACCGCCGAGCGGGCAAAAGCGCGCTCGGGCCAGGGCAGCTGGGAGCCTGGAGGCCCGAGGGAGTCGGAGGCGAAACGAGCGTGAGCACCTGGCTCATCGCATCTCGGAGCGTCGAGTTGGAGGAGTCCGAGGGAAGAAGAGGAGGAGGGTGGAGGAGGAGGAGCAGCAGCAGCAGGAATGCAAGGGAAGGGGGGATAGCGGACTTTGAGTGCGGAGGATTTGCGGAGGATGAGGGCGCAGAAAAGAACTGGGAATCACGAAGCGGGAGGACTGCAAAGGACGGATCAACGGGGTGGGATTCGGAGTAGGAAGCTGGAAGAGGAAGTGGAGGAGGCCATGTGGCCATCGGTCAAAAGAGTTATGCTGCGAGAACAAAATGTCATTCGACCATATGTAGTAAATCACGAGACAGCTCGCTGGGTATGCCCCGCTGCCAAGCCAGACAGCAAACATGTGTCGGGCGTAGCCCCCGACGCATGCGCATGCACCTGCCAACGTCGTTTGTATTGATTGCGTCATGGCTTGCGCGTTCGCCGCCCGACGATAAAACGGCCGCCTAACGAGCGCGGCTAGTGCGGGTTCGGCCGGGCGCGAGCTTGGCCCGGCGCGAGTTCCGCCTTGTGCGAGTTCGGCCAGGCGCGAGTTCGGCCAGGCGCGAGTCTTCCAGCCTGCGGAGGAGGCCAAGCCGAGGGAGAGTGCCAGAGTCGCCGGGTGCGAGTTCGGCTGGGTGCGTTCTCGGCCGGGTGCGAATTGTTCTGCCTCTGGAGGAGGCAGAGCCGGAGGAGAATGCATGAGCCGCTGGGTGCCAGTTCGGCGGGGTGCGAGTTCGGCAGGGTGCGAGTTCGGCCAGGTGCGAATTCGGCTGGGCTCGAATTCCTCCGGCTGGCAGGTCAACCGCATGCGAATGTACGAAGTCCCAGAGACACTAACATCCGGAAGCCCCAATACAAAAGCCTAAGATGTTAACCCAGAGACCCTAAAACCCTAATTCTCGACCTTAAAACCTTAATGCGCCAAGACCCGGCTACCCTAACACCCAACTGTCCTAAACCCTCAGGCCATTATGCACCAATACATGCAATCCCAATAAACTAACCTCATCCCCAAACATCCGAATGCCCTGAGACATACCCCAAGACCCTAATACCCAGAGGCCCTAAATCCTTAAGATCCTAAGGCCCTAACGCCCTGATACCCTCATACCCTAAGCCCCTTATGCCATAAGCCCTTCATGCCCTCATGCCCGAGTAATTACCATAACATCCAAGTGCGCCAATACCCTGAAACTATAAAGCCCTAATACCTGAAGACCCCCAAGCCCTAACACCCTGATGCCCTAAGACTTGAACTCTGCAAGGCGGTAATACTCTAAGACTATGGCACCCTAAAGCCCTTCGCCTGTAATGCAAAAAAAAACCAAACAAATCCCAAACCCTAATGTCTGAATACCCTAAGGCCCTAAGGCTCTAAGACCCGAACACCCTAATACAACAATCCGGAAGACCCGCATACCCTAACGCTCTAAAACCTTAACACATTTAAACCAACAGATCCCAATGCCGGAAAACCCTAATAACGGAATGCCCTAATAGCCGGATGTCCTAAGATCCCCAAGTCCCTAATACCCTAATGCCCTAACGCTCTAAATACCTGTGGCCAAAAGACCCTAAGACATTACAACCTGAACAAGCTAATAGCCAAAGATCCCCAAACCAAATGCACGAATGCCGTTATACCCTACAAGCCTAGCGCCCTCATACCTGACACACTGTTACCCTACAACTCTAATACCCAGAGACCCTCATGCTCTAAGAACATCAGACCTCACGCCCTAAAGTCATAATGCTCTAAGGCCCTAACCCCCTTGATCCTAATAAAGCCCTAAGACCCGAATCGTTCTACCTTGAAGCTCTTATACCCTGACGCCCTGATACACTAAGACTCGAATGCTCGAACACCCTGATACCCGACTGCCCTTATAACGGAACGCACTAATACAGTCGGCCCGTATAACAAAACCCTGGGAACCGAATGCCCCCATCCTTAAAAACTCTAAGACCCGAATGCATGAGGACCCAACATGCCGAACGTCCTACTACCCTACAAGCACGTCTGTCCTGATACCCTGGTGCCTTAATACCCTAGATTCCGAAGACCTTAAAGCTTAAAGCCCTAAGGCCAGACGGCCCTAGCATCCAGATGCCCTAGTATCAGGACGCCCGAAGACCCCAGGACCTTACTATCCTATGGCCCGAATTCCCCAGACCATGATACCCAAATGCCCTACAGCCCGAACCCCAACGCCCTAAAACCCAAATCCCTCAGACCCTTAAGCCTTAAAGCCATAATGCCCTAAGACCAGAGGCCGAGGCATCTTAACACCCAAATGCAACAACGCCCCAAACCCCAAAGACCTTGATGCCCTATGGCCCGAATGCCCTCATGCCTGAGCGCGCTAGAACCCTGATGCCGTAACGCCATAACGCCCTAACACGCTAACACCGTAATGTCCTATCACCCTACAGTCAACGCACCTTAACAAACTATTACCCTAATACCCTGACGCCCGAATGCCCTAAACCTTCGAAACGGTCTAAACATCCAATGTCCAAAGCCCTGATACCGTACTACCCTAGAACACTAACGTCATCATACCCTGCGGCCCTAAGATCTTACAGCTGTAATATCCGAATGCCCTAGCACCCAAATGGTCTAAGACATTAGCACCCAACGGCCCTAAAGCCCTAGATCCCTTAAAACCATGCTACCTTACTAACCGAACGCCCTACCCTAATCATTTAATTCCATACGACCCTCGGACCCTAATGCCGTCATGCCTGAAAACTTTGAGAACCTGGTATGCGAAGTCCCGACAACCCTTATAACATAATGCCCAACATCCAAATACCGTAATGCCCTAACACCCGGATCCCCTACGGCCCTGGTACCCTACGGCCCGAAACACCAAAGCCTTGAGACTCTGAGGCGCCAGAAACCCTGAAACCCAGAGGCACTAACGCCCTAATACCCCAAGGTCTTGATACCCTGGAGCCCTAATTTGCCCAGCGAATGGCCCAACCATATGCAGTCGTGAGTGCCGCAATTGTGAGGATCGTCTTCGGTCAAACTCTTTATGTGGCCACAAACATATAGGGTGCGCGCTGGTTTGGGTAGAGGGGGGGGGGCGCATGTGAACCCTCCCACTGGGACCTTGGGTGGAACTCCCTACAGGGCCACGAAACGTAGGAGGGCAGTGCCGAAACGGGCGCAACGCCCACATGCGAACTGCGCCACATGGACCTTTGGTGGAGCTCCTTACGGGGCTACGAAATGTGTCAGGGGTGTGCCGAAACGGGCGTGATGCCCACATACGAACTGCGCCACTCGGACCTTCGGTGTAGCCCCGTATGTGGCCACAAAACGAGTTTGGAGTATGCCGAAACAAGCGTGACGCCCACCTGCGAACCGCGCCACTGGGACCTTCGGTGGGGCTCCATACGGGTCCACGAAGCGTGTGAGGGGACCTTCGGTGGAGCTCCCTATGAGGCCACGAAGCGTGTGCGTGGTGTGCCAAAAGGGCGCGACGCCCACATGCGAACTGCGCCACTGGGACATTCGGTGGAGGCCACGAAGCGCGTGAGGGGTGTGCCGAAACGGGCGTGACGCCCACATGCGGCCTTCGCCACCGGGACCTTCGGTGGAACTCCCTCTATGGGGCCACGAAGCGTGAGGGGTGGCCGAAACGGGCGTAACGCCATCGTGCGAACTGCGCCACTGGGGCCTTCGGTGGGGCTCCCCTTGGGGCCACGAAGCCTTTGAGGGGTGTGCCGAAACGGGGGTGACGCCCACATGCGAACTGCGCCATTGGGACCTTCGGTGGAGCCCCCTATGGGGCCACGAATCGTGTGAAGGGTATGCCGAAACGGGCGTGACGCCCACATGCGAACTTCGCCACTGGGACCTTCGGTGGAACTCCCTCTATGGGGCCACGAATTGTGTGAGGGGTGTTCCGAATAGGGCGTGACGCCCACATGCGAACTGCAGCACTGGGACATTCGGTAGGACTCCCTTTGGGGCCACGAAGCGTTTGAGGGGTGTGCAGCAACAGAGGCGATGCAGGGATGAGATGAGGGAGGAAGGGGAGGAGGAAGGAAAGAAGGAGTGAATGCGGGGCGCTGTCTTTCAAAACGAAGACCCCATACCCTAAAAACTGAAGGCCATAATTCCACAACGCCCTAACGTGCTGGTGCCCTAAACCTTAGGACCCGAACGCCTTAAGACCCCAAGGCTCTCAGACCCGAAGGCCCTGAGCTACCCTAACAACCCGATGCCACCAGAACTTGATAGCCTAAGTCCCTGGTGCCTTAATACCAGAAGGCCCTGCTACCACAATGCCCTAATACCCTACTGCCCTAATGCCCGGAAGTCCCAACGCCGGACCACCCTATTATCCTAAAGCCGCAGACCCCTAACATCCTACTACCCTACTGCCCTAACGCCCTAATACTCTGGACTTGAATGGCCCGAGACACTACTACCCAAATTGCCTGATACCCTACTACACTAGAACCTAAACGCCCTCCCGAAGACCCTATTACTGTAATCTAGAACGCTGGAACGCCCGAATGCCCTAATAGGCGAACGCCCTACAACCTTCATACCCTAATACTGGAAGATCCTACTGCTGGAAAGACCGGATAAACGTATACTCTAAGACCTTACGGCCGCAATGCCATAATGCCCTAACGTTCCCAAACCCTAATGCCTTCACACCCTTCGGCCACTTAATCCGTAGAGCTCTAACACCGTAATACCTTAAAACCGATTGCCCAAATATCCCTTATACCCTAACATCAAAATGTCCTAATACTTATACCCTGACGCGCCAAAACCTTAATACCCTAACGCCCTAAAACCCGACAGTCCTAAAAGCCTGATGTCCTAAGAGTCGAACGCCCTAATACACAAGTAACCGAACGTCAAGCCCTCATACCTTCATGCCATAAGACGCTCGGGCCCTAATGCCCTCAGACCTTAAAACCCGACATACCCTAATGCACGAAGACCCTACCACACTTTTGCCCGAAGATCATAGCACCCAAATGCTATGGCACCCTAACACCCCAACCTTACTCCCATATGGCCATATGGAGCCTTGGCGTTGAGAGCTTGTTACGTCACCCCTCGCTCTTGGGAGCCTTGGTGTTCAGAGATTGTTGCGTTGTCGCCCGTTCCCGAGCCTTGGCTGGGCCTTGGTGTCAGGAACTTGTTACGTCACCGCTCTCTGCTGGGAGCCTTGGTCTTGTCAGCTTGTTTACGTCACCGTTCGCTCTTGGGAGCCTTGGTGTGAAGAGCTTTTTGCGTTACCGGTCGCTCTCTATTTGGCGTCTCTGGGCCTTCTTGGGAGTCCTATTGGGGCCCTTGTCGGGCCCTTTTGGAGGCCTCTTGGGAACCTCTTGGGGGCCTCTTGGGGCTTCTTCGGGGGCTCTGGGGGCCTCCTGGGAGCTTCTTGGGGCTAAAGGCTAGACTTTTCGGTTCGTGGTCCCCCTCTTGGGGCCGTCTTGGCGCCCTCTTGGGCCGTCTTGGGCGCCTCTTGGGCCGTCTTGGGGGCCTCTTGGAGCGTCCTCAACGCAGTGAAAGCCGAAACGCCTTGTATGCTAAAAATGTACCTTTCCCCATAGGAAATCAATGATTTTCGCCTCCCGGTGGCCTCTTGGGACGCCTCTTGGGGACCTCTTGGGGCTTCTTGGGGGGCTCTGGGGGCCTCCTGGGAGCTTCTTGGGGCGAAAGGCTAGACTTTTCGGTTCGTGGTCCCCCTCTTGGGGCCGTCTTGGCGCCCTCTTGGGCCGTCTTGGGCGCCTCTTGGGCCGTCTTGGTGCCCTCTTGGGCCGTTTTGGGGGCCTCTTGGGAGCCTCTTGGGCCGTCTTGGGGCGGTCTTGGGGGCCTCTTGGGCCGTCGTCAACGCCGTGAAAGCCG